CACACACACATGCGCGCGCGCACGCACGCACTTGGCCGATCAAGCATGAATTAGTTTACACAAAACGCTATTCAAATACTCGACATTCAATGATTAATCTTCCTTTTGAGTGCACACGTGTACCCTTTGTGGCTTCCGTTCGGGCCGAAATTTCAAAATCTCCAAGATATGGCGAGGCCATGAGAATGCGAGGCGAGGGTATTACTGTTCTGGCGACTCCACTCAAGCTAAGCGAGCCTCAGCAGTAGATAGTCCGCTGCTGTCTGCTGTGCGGGTTTCAACGCGAACATGTACGCAAGCGCGTCTTTTGATTTCAACCAATCAGCGCCGACGCAAATGACGTCACACACGACACCAGCTAAGCTAAGTTCGCCGAGGCGACACTAAGTCGGACGGACACGATTTTCTGCCAACCTGTGTTTTTCCCTTTTTGGGCAAATATATATTTTACGACAACTGTCTTGTTGACGGTGTCTTTTACTCGTTCCACTGGGGTTTAGCGGGTGTGTTTATAAAGAGACGAAAATTGTTTGGGGACTATCCCCCACGTTCTAGTTGAGATGGTATAACCCAAGAGGCAAAATGACGCTTGCTACTGTTGCTGCGAGTTGCCATTCGTTCTACTAAACCATTAGTCAAACGCCATCATGCCTTCTGTCGTTATTACACAAACAAAAATCTCTTTACTGTTACTAGTGTTAGTGCCTCAATATGGCTACGCTCGTGAAAGCAATACAACAAACTCAAACGTGTCTTCGTTCAATGTTGTCAACCAATATCCGGATTAATTTTATGCAAATTTTCCTCAATTCTCCGGAGAAATTTTCATAAAAATTTGAAAAACCCGGAATTCCGGGAAAATCCGGAGGACTTTCATCTCTGTATAATGCACCACCCCCCCAGAGTTCCCAGGTGTTTTGATAAAAATACCCAAAATAAAACAAATTATACTGCAGTTAATATCCACTGATCACATTGGTTCAAATCACATGGTTTATGGGGGACAGTTATTGTATACCATTACAGCTGGAGCAAATATCCATGACAAGACATTTAGTGATGAAGGTGGAAGTTAACAGCTGAACTTATACAATGGTACCTCTACTTACTTGTTGTTGATAGACAGTAATATTGTGTGAGAGATTATGTGTGAATAACTGCTCCAAGTGAAAAATGTTCATGCAAAATTGAAAATCGAAATTGTTGTTTCAGTAAATATTTACATTTTGGACATAGAAAACTGATCCATGATTCCATGTTGATGAGAGCATTAAAACAGGAAAAAATAGGACAAAAAAATATAAAAGGGAATTCAGAAACGACAAAAAATGTTTGAGCAATCATGATTAATTATGAGTTAATTTGAGTTAATTATGACAGTTGCGTTTTTAATCCCGATTAAATATTTTAATCATTTGACAGCTCTAATATAGACATATACAGTAATCCCTCGTTTATTGCGGTTAATGGGGACCAAAACCACCCGCGATAAACGAAAATCCGCGAAGTAGCGACCCCCCCGGCCCCCCACGTGGGCCTTCGCGCTTGAGCAGAGCGCACTAACACACACACACACACACACACACACCATAAACAACACTTAGACACTGATTAAAGATCAAAGAGTAACCCACATGATAAGACAGAAAGAAGATGCACAGCCAATCAACATGGCTTTGCATCTTCTCAGCCCCCCCCTCCCTTACCCCACATGTAGAATTGGATATGTTGCTCTATGTGACTCACTATTGTTTTGCTGACTTTCGCTACTTCTCGCGGACCGTTTGCGGAATTTTTGCGGACTTAAAAAAAATATATATATGAATGTATGAAAACGCGATGCACTGAAGCCGCGATAAACGAACCGCGAAACAGCGAGGGATCACTGTATCTATCTATATAGATATACATATATAGTAGTATAGATAGATAGGTAGATATTGAATATTCGGTGCTTGCTGTTATGAATTTGACTCCATTTGGTTGTGAAAGTACACTGAGCAAAGAGGAAGATTTGATGGTTCGCTCACCTCTTTATGCTTCTCCATTGTGGCAGAGAGCTTTTGGAACAGATCATTAGCTACATTCGGCATCCCAGGCTTTTTCTTGTTGGCTCGACTGACACTGCTCTTATTTTTGTTGGTCTTCTTGTTGTTCTTCTTTTTGGCATTCTTGCTGTCAGCGTGGGCTCCCTTTGGAGTAAACGCACATGAATCAGAACGTGAAGGGTCATAACTTGCACAGAAAGCAACATTAAAAAAGAGCAACTGCAAAAATGTCAGAGCAGCGGTTGAAAGCTTTTGGATGTTTTAGGATGATACATTCTGGAATAAAATAAGAGGACCTCGAATCAGTGTATTGATTTTGGCTCTCATAAAATCTGTCCTCCCACCCCCCAAGCCTCGCCGATCATGTTCCCTCACCTTCGGCGTCTCACAGGAGGCCGTGTTCTCCTCTTTCTTCCTCTCCTCCTCCTCCTGCTCCAGTTCTTTGATGCTCTCCTCTAAGAAGTTTGGCCAAAAGTCACCCTCGAAATACGGCAGCTCGTTGGCGCTGGTCAGCCTGTCTTCTGTGGCTTGCTTGAAAATGTCCTGAATGACAAGAAGCAAGTTGAAACAGTGACTTGAAGTTAGCAAATTTAACAACTTTTCACGGACAAACATCAACAAGGAAATGCCCAATTAAAATTGGACAAATTTAAACATCTGTAAAAGCGCCAACATTCATAAACAAAAAGTAACACTTTGCATAGCAACCCGACGCTTCATTTTTGAAACTGAAACAGTCTATCATCTTAAAACTTTTACATGTCACTTTTTCATTCTGACGTGAGCAACAACAACAAAAAGAATATGATATGCTGACTCCATATACCAAAATGGGATATTTTCTCCCGACTGTGGGCCATTTCATTTTTAATAAAGTCCCGAGGACAATACGACATGAGTCCAAAAATAATCTCTTTTGAGACGTACAAGGGCATCACAATTGACTTAAGTACTGCAATAGAAGTTTTTCAGTTTAGAAAGAAATTAATGCATGTCGATTCATTAAACGTATCGCAAAAAACTTTTCAGACGGCCAACTCCAATCAAATTTCGACATATAATCTCTTTCCAGTTGTTAATGTAATAATACTAATATCCAAAGATGGTGAGGTTTTTTTGTTTTTGGTTAACGTTCTGGTGAAATTCAAAAAAATTAAAAACAAAACATTTCACTCTGCACAGACTGAATACTGAATTTCTCATGTTCAATTCCGAAGTTGAAACATACAACTGAAATTATGTTTTTCCACAAAACTCACATTTATTGTATGTACCGCACCTGTATTTTGTGACCAATCCCTGAGGTTTCACTGTGCTTTTATGAATTTTCATTTCCATTGTTGCTTTTGAAAAAGCACAAGACAAATATAAAAAAAGAAAACTAAAAGCAAAGCAGGATCCGTCTCTCAACAAGGATTCAGTCCACTCATACAGTATCTCCAGATTGATTCGCTTCTTTGCGATAAAGTTGGACGATTTATGACACAAACGCAAAAGATGCTGACCTTGAAATCGTGTAGGATTCTCTCAGCAAAAGCCTTTTCCAGCATCTTCTTGTACCACTTTTGCAGCCTCTTCGGTTTGGGGATCTTCTGGTCGGGAGGGTGGCAGTGGAAAATGTAGTCATCTCCTTCGCTGGGTGGGCAGGCCCAGATGTGACCCATCACATACCTGAACAGGATTCAGATTTTTTAGTTTTTAAGACTATTACACGACAAAAGGAACCATACTATGTGACGTTATTGCTCAGGTACCCCAGTTTCTTGACATACTCCAGGTATCCAATTAGGATCTCGTGGTAAACTGCACTCCTGAGCATGCGTGGTTTGAAGAAGTGAATACTGTCGAGGTATGATATATAAACCCGCCTAACAAGGAATAAAAAGTCTTAGAAGCATGATCGAGCAGAAATATGATCGGATTATTCTTCAATGCGATGCGGACCTCGTATTTGGAAAAGGACAATCCGAGCCATACTCCTGGACGTGCATGCCGAAGAAACAAACGTCCACACCGTCAATTTCTTCAAATGCAAAAAGTGCTTTGGTTCTGTAAGGGAAGCTCTCGACCATCTCGCCCGAGTCCACAAACCTGAGCAAAACAAAAGTTTATGTCAGAACTGATCAAATGTCCAAAAAGCAGTCGCAGCAGTGGAAGACTTACCTAGACTTCATTCCAGGCTTAATCTCTACAGTTTTGTCAGAGCTGGCTACGACTCGCACAAACACTTCGCCGGCTTCTGGGTGGTTCTGTCTTTTCAAGTACTTATTGACTCTGTCCTCAATGTACGTTCCCAACCTCGTTGACTGCAACCCTTTCCGCAAAAACACACACATTTTTCATGAATTCACTTTAGGTTTATCATGTTTCATGTTGACATTCAGCTTACTTTTAGCTGAAAACTTGTTCTCCTTTTTTGTTTTCCCAGACCTCTTCAAACAGTTCTCGCAGACAAAGCTGAAAGATAAAAGCGCCTTAAGAGAAATTCCCAAACTCTGAAGTGACAGCGATGGCGAAGACTCACCCCGACGGCCAAATGATGTCGTAATGCAGCACGCAGATCTGATGCATCTTGCGTCCGCAATCTTTACATTCAACAAACCTGTGAAGACAGACATTTGCATGCTCAGCGGTTTGTCCTTGGACACGACAACGGAAGTGTTGTCCAAATCTCATCGAGGCACATCGTGGCCAAAGAACAGATTGTACTCACGGTTCAGAGTCCAACATGTCATTTTTCTTCTTCTCAAACTGCTCTTTGGATATCATGCTGAAATCCAAAAGTTAAAAAAAAAAAACAAAAACATTAAGTTGTTTTCTGTGTTTTAGCAGGACAACACCTGAGTGATTTAACATTTAGAAGAGCCCTAACTTACGTCTGAGACTGTGCCGGGTCGTCCCCCAGCGTCACATTGTTGCCCTGGATCTCGTTGAAGCACTTTTCACAGAAGTGATACCTGTTGGGGATAAAGCCATAACTGGGTAAACTGCATCTTGCACATCCACAGCAGCAGGATAGGCGACAAGGCGCACACACATTTAACAATAAAGGACAGAGCAAGGTTATGAACTGAACCGACATTTTACATATTTTTCATTTACAAAACTAATGATAACTAACTGTAGCAAAAATGCCCAACGTTATCTTTGTCAATTAATTTAATACATGAGCCTTTGGGGTTGATTTCAAATGTATTTACTTTGTGTGTCACAGCATGGCCATTAGCCAGAAGAAGGAAGGTCGAACAACAAAAAATGTTTAAAAAAAAATACTACACAGTATATATCACATTTCTATCTGACAGATAAAATTCAGTGGTAACGTGGTTTGTGCTGTTCTGTACGGAATACTTCTAAACAGGAAATCAAGTCACAAATCAACCTTAGAAGTTGGCAACTTAGCAAACAATGGATGGAAAGTGAGATCACCCTCATTTAATTTAAGACGGTAAGAGTTGTAATGCACCTGACTTGAAAAGCAATATTATAGAATGCACGTATTGTACATTAGTCTGTGGACTGTTATACAGTCCCCATATTTGATTTGTGGTCGGCTGATTTAAAAATGTTTTTCAAATAATATTTTTGTTCCATTTGTACAGCACAATTATCACGTGATTTTAATCTTGCACATACGGAAAAAAAAACCCTACAACTAATACAAAAACTAAAAAACTAAACGACCATTAAAACATTTGAAAAATAATAAGAACTAGCAAACCAACTCGGGAAAACTCAATGCGAAATAAAAACGACGATGAAAATTCTATAACTATTCTAACATCCTGGTCCTGACAGATATGGTCATGACCCACTCACACTTTTTTAAATAAAGCAAGAAACATGCTAAACTTTGATTTTATGCAAAAGTGCAAATGTTCTATTATCATAATTTGTATGAAGAATAACAGTAGCCATGTATCTGCTTTTTGCCTTGTTAAAGGCCATCAATATATTAAATTGAAATGAATTCAGTGTTTTTGGGGAGGGAGAGGGAGGGTGGAGGTGAAATTATCTTCAAAGAAGTAACATGCCATTTAGTGTTGTGCAATAACATTGTGTCCAGCAGGTGGGGAGACCTGAGGGCTTGTTCGAGAGCAGTGGTTCTTAACCTGGGTTGGATAGAACCCCAGGGGTAAGGTGAATCAGTCGCAGGGGTTCGACGGAGCCTCTGCCGCAAGACTCAACGTCATTTAGTTACGACACACCGGCTTGGCCATCATTGGCTGCAGATGATCACATTACATTGCTTGGCCAAACAGTGCTCCGGGAAATTTAGTTCACTCAGTAGTCTACATGTGACCGTCGTGATCGTACGTCGTGTGATTAAATAAAAAATGTTTTCATACATGCAATGTTGAGCAAAAAAAAAAAAAAAAAAGTGGTCAGATGAATGTGTACAACATGGATTCACATGCATCACGGAACATGATGGGACTCAGCGTCCTATCAGCATAATTTGTCAAGCCAAGTTCAGCAACTCTCGTCTCGCACCGGCAAAACTGAAGGAACACTTCCTGAATCAAATTTATATTTTTCACTAAGGGTTCGGTGGACGCGCATATGAACTGGTTGGGTTCGGTACCTCAAACAAGATTAAGAATCACTGTTATAGAGGCATGACTTCAGCTTGGTGGAAATGCAAAGAATCTCTGAGTGTGGCACACTGAAGGGGTGTTCACACGGCACACATTTGCTCCGGTGCTGCACTGACATATTTTGTTGCGATATGTCTTACACCAGTGCAAATTTTGTGGAGCGTTCACACGTAAAAAGCTGCTTAGTAAAGAGAAGCGTGTTTACCTCGGTGCAGCAGTTTCTGCGGCCGTGCAATACGATGGTACAGTATTAATACGGAAATAAAACTAAGACCTGTCGTGTTGGTTCTTTTTAAAATATACACTTTATTAATTTGTTTAACTCAAGCAACTAAAGGCACGTCCTTCCTCTTCTCGGTCTCAGTGCCTTCTGCTCGAGAGGCGTACAATGACCCCCCCCCCGGAAAACGTAAATCAACGATGACTTCAATGACAGAAAAGCAAACATAATGCGCCAAACAGAAAATCAAGAGAGGAAATCACAAAATAAATTCTATGGGGGTGGGTTGTGAACACACAACAGAGGAACAAACGACACAAACAATTCCGACACAGTGCAGTCTCCTACAAAAGATGACGAAAGTACAATAGAGCACGAAAGCAATGCATTCTACCCGTATGTAATCAACTCTTCTCATGCGTAGCGAGTCTACCCCTGTAGTGTTCACACGTACCATTTTAGATCGGTGCTGCCCCGCAAACGAGCATTTACTTTGGAGCAAATTTTTAAACCCCCTCCTTGAGCAGGGTTAAATTTGCTCCGGTTTAAGCTGTTTTCAGGGGCTACACCGGTGTAACTTTGTACGTGTGAACACTCTACCGGGGTAGCCCCGGTGCTGCACCGGAGCAAAAGTTGCCGTGTGAACACCCCTTTATACTTTAAGCCCCCTCAATCAGCATACAGCTCTACCTGTTCTGATAGCTGTAATAGATGCCATCCCTTGAGATAGTGCACAGTTGTTTGCCGTAGCAGCACAGTGTTTGGGGGGAGAACTCGTACTGCGGACCAAAGACAAAGAACATCACGTTTCAGTGCGGAAAGGTGTGTCGTGAACATACAGCCGTGCGTCGTCTCACCTTGCGGCTGCAACAGTAGCCCAGCGACTTCATGACGGGCTCAATCTCTGTTTCAAACACCTCGGCGAGCTTGGTGCAGTTCTTGTAAACGCGCGAAGTCTTGCGGTTGTACAGCCACGCATTGTTGAACATGAGCCACACGTCCTCTACATATTGCCACGGCTCTTGGTACTGGCCCGTGTCCAGTTTGCGCTTGATGGTGGACAGGTCAATGGGATTCTTCACAATGTCGAAGTAGCCCTGGGGAGTAGGGAGGGGGTCAGCTTTTGAAGGCTGACCGGCACATATTCTAAGCGTGGATAGACACTGACCGGGATGTCTACAGGTTGTCTGAAGGGCAACGACTCTGGGTCTTGCCTGTAGAGGGCCTCAAGTGTAGGCATTAGAGCTTGTCTGAGCTCTTCAGGTTTGAAAACTGCAGACATCAAGCAGAACAATGACTTTGACATACAATGGCGCATAAAGGGGAAAAAAAAACTTTAAAAAAGTTTTGGCACTTGAAAGTAAATGTACCACTGGACACAACTCACTTATTTTGCGGCTCTGGGCAGCGGAGGCACTGCCCCCACTTTCTGCCTTTCCTTCGAGTTCCGTCTCCACCGCTGGCTTCTTTTTTTCAGTGTCCATCGGTTCCTGCTTTGGCTCAGCTGTATCTGGCTCCTCCTTCACCAGAGGGGGTTTGGATTCATCATTCTGGTACAAGAAAAGAAAACTGAAGGATGAGTCATGTAAAAAAAAAAAAAAAATCTCTCTTCAGTAATTTATCAGAAGGTGGTGCACATTAAGTTTAGTTTAATTTAATTTCATCTGTAAACCCATACGTAACAGAAGGACGAAAGAGCAGATCATGATTGTAGATGGCCAGAAACATTTTCTCATTCACAGCCAAGCGGACAAAAGCCTCACCGGTGTGCTGGGATGTTGCGCCGGCACTGAGGTGGGCTGATGCATCTGGCCGAGGGGCTCGGGGTGCGGCTGCAGGGGTGTGAGCGGCTGGGAAGGCTCGGGTGGTGTACTAACGACAGAGGGTGGACCAGGGTGGCTGCCAGGTATGAGGGCTTGGTTGGAGGCCGGCCCACCCGTTGAGGCTGGAGTGGAGGGCTGCTGCAGCACCGGGGCCTGCGCGGGCTGATGGTGTTGTTGCATTTGGAGGCCGGTGGAGGGGTTGGGTGGAGGCGTGCTGCCCATGCCTGGCTGGGCTGCAGGTCCACACGGCAACTGAGAGCCGAGGGTGCCGTGCACATTTAGAGCGAGGTTGGAATTCTGCGACTGTTCGGAAAACTGGACACAATTAGAATGCAGTAGCGTTGAGATATTTCATTGCAAATCATTTTGGGGTGCGTGACCACCAGGGGGCAGTATAATATATTCAAGTTGACAAGCCACTCAATACTGCTGTGACTCGGTGAACTGCAGTAATTTGTCTTTTTTTTTTGTTGTGGAAAACAAATATATCCTTGTGAGTATTGTTATATTGTCTGTCTACATGTGTGGCTCGGACATTTATATTCAAAAATTATTTGCTGAAAGCATTATGTGACCGTGACAATTGCCACTATTCTTTAGCCCGTCGATGGGAGTTTTGCATTGTGTGATTCAGCTAAATTATAAGTACACACTGCACTGCATCATGGGAAGTGGTGGCCATTTTGGACGAACAGTGTCCATGGTAAACGTAAACAAGGCTGTGTAGGTTTTTGGCATGTTGAAAAGAACAATGCTTGACAGACACAACTATCACCTGCAAGCACAAATACTGAAGCTCAGCCAGAGGTGGAACTTTCACTTCTCACGGTAACACTCGCTAAATAGGACCACTGTCTCCCTCTTTGGGGTGAGTTATTTTTCCCGCCCTCTCTGAGGTGTCAGCAGCATCACACTTAATAATGAGGCGCTTCAAAGCGGAATCACCAGTGGGGAAACCCCAGTTAGCTCTGGTTCTCATGTTTTTTTTTCCTCACGCCCCACTCTGCCTCTCTTTTGCTCCATGACGCTGGCAGGATCACACCCGAGAAGTCTCGGAATAACACTTGCACGAGCAGTTTGCACTTTCTTTGGAGCCATACTGCGTGCTATTATAGAGCAAAAATAAAAGACAGCTGAGCACTCCCCATAAAATACAAAGACTGTTCGTGAACCAAAAATAGTAAATGACCATGGTCATTTTTCTTGCTCAATTTTGTCCATAAACCGAATTGGTTTGTCAACCGCCTCATTGGTAAAACAAGGTTCAACTGTCGATACGTGGGGTTTATACTCAGAAAAACAGATGGTGGAAGACAGCGTTTACTGTGAGAAGAAGTGGCTGAGAACACAAGATACCTCACCTGTGCACCAGGTTGCATTACTGGCTTACGACTTTTGAGAGCTAATTTAGCTTTTTTTGAGGACTTTTCTCCATTCAGCAGGGGATTCACGGGGGATTTAATGAACAGAAAGCCACATATCACTGAGCTGGTGTTGAAATCATTGCTGCCAAAGGAAGGGCACATCTTTATTTTTAGGGGCAATCATCTCATCCTTTATTTGACACACTATATGTCAAATTCGCCTGAAACGACCCGTGATCATCATCGGAACTGATCGGAGACGGGGGGGAACCAGGAAAGCATGTCGCCCGACAGTGGGATTTGAGGGCAAGGGTGCCAGGCGCATTTTCTGACAGAACTATTAATTGGAAGGGTGGGGAAAATGACATACACAAATTAAATGAACACCAGGGGTTAATTTTTTTATTGATTTTAGAAGCTTTCCCTGAAAATTAAGGATAATTAAGAACATAATTTTACAACTTCTTTTTTTATGGATTTTTATGAACTGTAAGGACCTGTGGGAACCCTATGGTACCCTTTCTGTGGTGGCATCACAAAAAAAGCCACAGAACAAAACAAAATACACTGTTTTGGAGCTATGTCTTTGGGTGATCAATAAATTGGCTGGAGTCATGCATGGCTGAAGTTTAGTTTTTGAACGCATCAAAATGTTGGTTGAACTCCAAATTGGACCACCATGTTGTATTTGCTTTTCCAAGAAAGTTCTTTTTATTATCTCAATATGAAGCACTAATAAGGAGACAAAACTCACTGCTGGGACGGCATTCATGTTGAGCTGCGGGGGATGGTTCATGGGCGAGGGAGCTCGGGGCCCCAAGGGTGTCTGTGACATCTTCGCATTTTGCGTTGCCATTGGGTTGTACTGATTGATTCCTTAGGGGATATACACAGTCCATTATACATGTGTTTGTCGTATTGGTGGAAGTCTAAAATGTGCAATGAAAACACTAAATAAGTTGACAACAAATATTCTGATGGCACTTCCATAAGAAATCACAGGTTAATCAGTGCATTCATACCTTGAGGCACCTGCATACGGTTCATCATCTGATTTGGGATAGGCACAGGTCCATCTGAAGTGGAAGGAAATCAATCATTAATCCTTTATTAAACCCCCAAAAAGAAAAAATGAGAGATTTGACTACTGACTGGGAGGTCGGACGGGTTGTCCCGGAACCATGGCATTGGGCTGAGTCATCGAAGGCTGCTGGGGTCCGGCGTTGCCCACCATGCCACGTTGCCTCTGGATCCGCAAACGTCGCCTCTCCTCCAGCTCCTTCTGGATCTTGTACATCTTCTCCGCCAGGAAGTGGTAATACTCATCCTAGCCAGAGGAAGAGAAAAGACTAACTTGTCACTGATGGGTAAAAGATTCCCCACCGAGACACTAACTTGGATTATTTACCCTGCTGTTGGCCGACTCGTACATGTCACCTTCGACCTTGCGTGCGTAGGCGACCAGGCTGTCCATTCTGGGATCCTTCAGTGCTATGGGGTCTGGGTTTGGGAATATGGCTTGTACTCTGAGGGTTGGGGATTAGTCACACACTGTTTTCTATCACATATCAACGTGTCAATCTACACAAGCACAACATACAGTTTGTGCACCAGGTGAGTGCGCAGGCCCTGAGTGATGTGTTCATGCCAGGCCTTCCGGACCCCCGAAGCGGACAGAGGGGTGGCGGCGGGCAAGTTTCCCATTCCTCCTGCCACGGACCCATCCGGCAACAACTGACTTGAGGACCAAAAGGAGAAAGGCAGCAAAACTCAAAAGGCAATTGAACTGAGCTTTTCATGAACTCGTTCACTCCAGCGGAGGTTTCTACTCATCAAATGGAATCCCACATTTTACTGTCACAACGCATATATTTCATAAAGTATATTTTTAACAGGCAGGCTGCCTAACAGATTCAAACCACGGTTGTATTTGGACATGCAATGCATAAAACCCAGAAGAGAGATTTTCACGCTCATTAACATCATGGATCAACTCACTTGTTGAGTGTGGAGGGCAAAGAGTCGCTGTGCAGCCCAGTCTGGTCTGAAGAGGGCACCCCCATCCCTGCTGCCATTTGGTTGATCTGATTAGTTCCTGATAATCATTTCAGTCAGAAATTTGAAACTTGGCAGATGAAAACTTGTACTGATTGACATGTATTTGAAAAAGGGATGATGAGAAATGTTCACTTTTCTCATCTACCTAGTGCAGCCTGCCTCAACTGGCGGACCGCGATCCACTACCGGACCGCCGACCTCCTCTGTCCGGACCTCTTCTGTCCGGACCCTCGGCAAATTGTATAAAATAATAATTGATGAAGTGATTTTTACGTTATACATTTTATATTTGTGGACTATAATCTGCGCATTACCGCGATCGCTTGTTCAAATTATCCGTTTTATTCTTTGCGTGCGCTAACAGATGTATTGCAAAGGACGCAGCAGCGCGACTGTGTGTTGTATAATGTTTGACTAACTGGAGACCCTGGCTGAGCAGTAGGGTGGTCCATTTTGGAAAAGCTTGTCGGATTCGTCGGGCCGGGTCGGAAATCTTGTCGATACTATGACACAAGGATGTGTGCAAAATTTTATTCCGATCGGATAATTTTATCCCGTCCCGCAGAGCGACCAAAGTTTCCCCTATGGAAAGAATGTTACGGGGCTGAATGGTAGTACGGTTTCTCCCGTACAGTAAGGATTTTGTTTTGCTCAGTTCGCACTTGCAATAATTCAAAGACGGAAGACAGGAACGCATGTATTGCAAAAAAGGCAACCGTGGTTATCCTTCAACACTGGTGAGATTGTTGGTACATGTTAACTGGTCCATCTGTCTATCTGTACATCTGTCTACATCGCGCGACTGTCTGGAAGTGATCCGATCCGTTTTGCATTTTTTTCAGGCCGGGAGTGGTGC